TGCTGAATTCTGCGGAACCCAGCGTGCTCCCTGGTGGCTCCATCTGAGGCTTTGCGGGGTGGGGTGGGGGCATAACGGGAGCAGCAGCGTGTGACTGGCCAGGCCTGAGCCCCTCTGACACAGCTTTGGCGTTGGCTCCAGAGGCCTGAGCACGGGCTGGGGGCGCGGCCGGTGCTCAGTGCGTTGTGGCCATTCAAGGGGAAATGCCCCACGGGAGGACGCGGCTTGTCCTCTGAACTGGCAGACGCATTACAAGCGGGCCCAGAACCCCCCAAGGCGAGGAGGTGGCATCTCCGGTAACACCTGCACAAAGCCGTGTCAATGACTCAGGGTCTAGCGTGCGCCACGTATCAGGCGGCGGTGACCATGCCGCGGTAGCGTCCTCCTTGCGCCTGTCCCGTCGCAGCTACACCCGCACAGCAAAGCGAAGGGCACAGGGTGTCCTGGGAACTGAACAGCAGCTGGGAGCAGTGGCCCTCCCCTATTAATGCCACTTGCAGATGTGGCCCAGACATGCATCCCATGGTGTCCAGGCCCTGTAGCATCTCTGCTGCTTGGCAGGGAGGGGGAGGAGGGGGGCGACAGACCAGCATACGCTGGGACAGAGGGATTCTTCCCCAGCTGCTGCAGCCTAAAACTTGGGAACATAAAATAAGGGAGCTCCATGGGCCATTGGGAAGCAGCCTTCCCCTTCACGGGACCTGGAGTGGAGCATCCTGCTCGTACATGGGGAGAGCTTCTCTGGGAACGGGTTAGGTTGGGTGTGGTCGCTGGGCCTCGCGGGAGGCTGTTCCAGACCCTCACTCCTCTGGCGGCGAGAAGCCTTCTGCTCACTACCAATCGCCTGCTGCACCTGGCCTCTTGCCATCTCGCCCCCACCGGGCCCTGGAGCTTAAAGAGCTCGTCTCCCTCACGGGTGTTCAGCCCCCCTCTCCTAAGATCAGCTCTCCCTGCCCCGGGTGTGGCGCCTTCATCTTTCTCGCGCGCATGGGGCCCTGCACTGAGCACAGCGGGCCCGGGGAGGAGATGGCCAGTTTCAGATGGGCGTTCTACTCTGCAGGGCCAACCAAACCCCCACCCGCCAAAGAGAAACGGTCCAGGGCGTGTCAGCCATTTTTATTGGGTTTCAAGATTTTTCCAGTGAAGCAAATACACAGGGTGCAGCAAAACCAACGCGCGGAGCTCTGCAGCGAGCCCGTACAGCTGAGGAGGGGTCAGTTACAGGGGAGGGGGGATAGTCTGACAGTTCCCTTTACCAGGGCTTTACAATACACAAAACACAGCCCACCCTCCCCCCACGGCATCCCCGCTCGGCCTATGGGACGGGATTATTTACATGACTAGAGTCCTAGGGAGGCCCTAATGGCTTTGCTTCCTGCAATCGGCGGCAGGGCCAGGATCGGCGCTGGGCGTGTTCCCTGCCCGGGAACGTTCTCTCCCCTTCCCACCCACCCCAAACAAGAGCCCCTGCTGGGCGAGGGGCTGGCGCTGCTCTTAGAGATGCCAGGCCCGACTCTGCCATTCAGACACCAACAAACAAAACGCCCTTGGCAGGTGAAGCTTTGCCTTTAAGAAACAGCCGCTCTCTAATGAGGGCAGAGTCGTGAATCTCTCATGCCAGTGGAATCTGTTTCTTTTCAGTATGGGAGGGAATAGCTAATGGGGGGGGGGCACATGACCTCCCCATGTGATCCCCCGTGCCACGTGACTCCCTCCCCTCCACCCCTTGCCTAGGGCCACGTGATTCTGCATCTCCTCCCATGACCCACCCCCTTTCCCTTGGGGATGGTATTTTCTGCCCCCTCCCATTGAGTGTGGAACCGCAGCAGTGAAAGGAGCAGAACGTGGGGCCGGTTAGGCAGCCCCATGCTACGGTTGTACCAGCCCCAGGCATTCCACGCAGGGTCTCCTCCGCCTGTGCAGCAGCCCCAGGAACTGCAGCATGAAATGGACCAAACGCTGGCAGCTCCTCTGGTGCGGCTGTGCCACCCCCAGTCCATCCTCTGGTGCGGCTGTGCCACCCCCAGTCCATCCTCTGGTGCGGCTGTACCACCCCCGGTCCCATTCTCCAGTGTGGCTGTACCACCCCCAGTCCCATTCTCCAGTGTGGCTGTGCCATCCCCAGTCCCACTCTGTCACTCTGAGCCTGTCTACATTTTGCCCGTTCCGGCGTTGTAAGGAAAGCAATGGCAATGTTTAGAGAGACGCACATTTTTTATGTTTGCTGTGGTGTCTTAAATGGTTTGTGGCCCCAGCAGTTTCAGTGTTCTCAACTATTTGTGACTAATGTACATTAACATACAGCGTATGAGAATATTTACTGAGGCCCTGCTTCCAGTGATATGAATGTGTATCTTGAGATTTAGAAACCACGCAACTACAAGAGAAAACACTTAACTCTGAATATGAAAGCTCACTTGACAAGGAGTCAAAAGCAGAAAGAAACCCATGTCCACCAAGTTTAGCAATAATAACCCACCATCTAAAGCATTAGGGGTGCTGTCTACAGTGGCCACCTACAATGGAATAAACACAGAACATATAGTTAGCTGTTTTACATATTTCCACAAGAATGGGATGAGACATGTTTAGTGTTTAGTGCATACACACACACATACACACACACACACACACACACATGGTGGGGTTTTCATAGGTGCCTAATGGGGTTAAGGTGCACAACCCTCATAGTCTTTCCGTGGAAATTGGGGGAGTAACCATTTTAGGCATCACTTAAGAAAATCACACGCTCTGTGTGTGTGTGTGTGTGTGTGTGTGTGTGCACGCACAAACACTATTTGAAAAAAGAGCTATTGACATTAGGAAACTTTAAACTCACAAAAAGCAAATGCTTAAAAATATCTATATCAACCAAAAAAATTGCATACTTAGTTTGCTTTACAGTTGGAATTAACGCTATAAACACTGTATATCTGTAAAATGTCCAAATGAATCCCTGGAGGATTAAGTCATTCCAGACACGAACCAACGACAAATTCTGAAAGAGAAAAACAAACAAAACACCTTGATTCATCTTTTCAAACTTTCTTTTTCATGTTCAGAAATGTCATCAACATCTGGATAAAGGCATATAAGAAAAAAATAAGGACTAGGAGAAAATAAGGAATAAATTGCCTAGGGAGGTTGTGGAATCTCCATCGCTGGAGATATTGAAGAGCAGGTTGGACAGACACCTGTCAGGGATGGTCTACAGTACTTGGTCATGCTGTGAGGGCAGGGGACTGGAGTCCCTTTCAGTTCTGTGATTCTATGATCTGCTCCCTGTGCCAGTTCCCTCCCCTCCCTGAATCTGTGTCAAAGTTACAAGAATCTATCTATGAATCTGAGCAGAGATGCTCTGTAGCTGGGCGATTTTTTTTACCACAAGACAGGGGCATTTTGGGTACCCACTATTTTTGACCACCTGTAATGAATGGGTGTGTGTGCGTGTAATACCCTTTTTTGGCTATTCCAGCATTCACTTAACTAAAGTTTCTTCTCAGTGGTTGACTTTTGAGATCTAACCCTAATTGTCTTGCCTCTAAGGGTTAAAACTAGTGTGTCCTAGAGAGTTCCGAGGAATGCCAGGGGTAGCAGAAAGTGAGTTGGCAGGAGGCCACGGGAAATGGAAACAGAGTGTGGGCTTCTGAATTGGAAGCAGTGACCTTCCTATACCTGTGGTTGTGTAAGCAGGAAGCAGCCTTGGAGGACATGAAATAAGCCAGGATTCCAGCATGGAAAATCCAGCAACATCCATGCCTAGGGAAGAACTAAATCTTGAAGCCACAGATATGTGAGTAGAACAGGGAATGTTTAGTCAGACGTGATCAGGTTCTTGTCTTTATATTTGGGTTTGTTGGACTTCTCTGTGCTGAAAACACATAACCACCCTTCCCACAACCCAATTTCCGGGTGAAACAGTTTTGGGGGAATATATGCACTGGAACCTCGAAACAGCCTCACATGCTCAGCAAATGTAAGCAAATAGACCAGCACGTGCATGACATGCCACTGCTGTTGGCATCGAGGCACCAGCTTGTTCGTCCTTGAACACGGTGGTTGTTAACACCAGGCGCAACCCCCTTCTCACCTGCAGGATGAACTTGTGCGGAAGGTCTCGTCTTAGAATCTGGACGACAGGCTCCTGAGAGCGCCCCCGGCTAATGGGCCCAACATGTTTTTATTGAATCCTTGCTGCAGAAGGAGACATTTATTGGAGTGCAGTTAATGCAGGCACATTGCAGATCAGTAGCATGTAATGTCATCACCCAGATCCCTCTGTCCTGCTTCAAAGACACCGGCCAGTTGGCTGCATGCAGAAACACGTTAATGGTACATGCAGCCTTTTTGCCTGAACCAAGCATGCAGCATATGTGTCAACAGTCATATTTATTGGCCAGAAGAGTCTTTCCTGTATTGTCTTCCCACTCTAGATAGCAGGACCTCAGCCCACCTTGATGTGGAAATACCAAAGCCTACACTGGAAAGGCAGCAAGGACCACGCATGTATGATGCACATTTGGATAAGGACCATGCGTAAAACACGCTCAGTCTTGTCAAATTGGAGGTGGTGTTGGTGTCTGGAGTAGCGCTACAGTCAAGTTAAAAATGGGAGGGGAACCCACCATCAACATGGGTGTGGTTATGAGGCCCAGAGGTTGCACCCATTTTCCGGAACATCGCCCCACCCCCTCAGTCCATCCTTTACTCCCCATTGTTGCGCGTGGCCTTCCATGGCGTGGGGAGGAGGACTCCAGTTTGGTGAAAGAAGCCAGGCGGAGGCCTGGAGGCTAGGTCTGGCCCTGCAGGTTTGGGAGAGGAAGTTTGGGGAGTTCTGACCAAGGCTGGCTGCTTCCCTTGTTGATCTGAAGGGTTATTCTGTCCCTGAAGTAGAGGAGGAGACCCCAGGGAGGCCTATGGACAGAGGAGGAAGTGCGGGAATGGCGAAAAGGAACCCTTGTTGGGAGCTCTAGCAATCCCTTCTCTAGCCACACAAGGTAGGAACTCCACGGAGCTTTGCACCAGTGTGTCTGCCTCTTCCTGGGCCTCTGGGGCACCTGGCGTTGGCACTGTGGGCAGACAGGACACTGAGCTGGATGGACCTTTGGTCTGACCCAGTGTGGCCGTTCTTGTGTTCTCCACGGGCTTATTCACACCAGCATAAATGAGACGCGGATAAGGCCCGTATGTTGGAAGGGATCTCTAAGGGCACGCTCAGAGCCCAGGCTCTCCTTCCAGACACCAGCAATATTCACCATTGACTTACAGCCCTTGCAAAACCATTGGACTGTGGGGATGAACCCAGCTCGCGGCTAGCCAGGCGAACCCTTTGCGTCCTCACCTGTTTGAGCACATTCTGCAGCTCCCTGTGTGACCACAGATCCCCCAGGAGGAGGCGAGCGGCTTCGGCTGCTTTTGGACAGGAGCTGGAAGGGTGAAAGAAATCCAGTGCATCTTAGCAGGCCGGAGCCCCCACCTCTATCGCTATGCAGTGAATCAGCCCCGCCATTTGCAGCACAATAGATCCCTCCACGACATCCTCACACGCTGCCCTGAAGGTGTTATTTGGATAGGGGAAGGGGCAAACGGCAAGGGAGGGATTTCCGGGAGGGCCCAAGGTGGTGTCATTGGAGGAACCCAGTGACGCTGCGCTACCAAGACACTTCCGAGCTGTAGACGCTAACCAGCTGCAAGAGAGCAGGGGGATGGCATAAGCCCCCTCACAGGGATCCTTTAGAACCGGCTAGCACAGACCTCTCAATAACGCAATGCAAGGAACAACCCTGCGGGGTTGTGGGGACGGCTGAAATGTGAGTAAGAAGAAATAACAATACTCAGAGCGGCCCTGAAGTCCTTGCTCAGCAAAAATGAATGGGCCTTTGCCCAAGTAACAACTCTGTAATCGGGACTCTGGCTTTCAGGGGTTTGCTTCAGATCTCCCTCTGATTTTGGAACCCTTCCCACCCCGAACCGGATGCAAACGTCACTGCCGGCGCTGCTGGCTGAAGCAGGTCTAATGTAAAACCTGCCCACCACCGACTTGCAGAGCATTCCAGCTCAGTTCATACCCTGCAACCCTTGGCCCCTTCCCCAGCCAAAACTTGCACAATGAGGTTCTGCAAAGCGATTCCCGCGGGGGCGTGGCTAGCGATTCCCGCAGGGGCGTGGCTAGCGATTCCCGCAGGGGCATGGCTAGCGATTCCCGCAGGGGCGTGGCTCACTATTCCCTCAGGGGCGTGGGGCGTGGCTCTCTATTCCCTCAGGGGCGTGGCTAGGGATTCCCGCAGGGGCGTGGCTAGGGATTCCCACAGGGGCATGGCTCACAGTTCCCACAGGGGCATGGCTAACTATTCCCACAGGGGCATGGCTCACTAGTCCCTCAGGGGCGTAGCTAGCAATTCCCTCCCGGGCATGGTTCACAATTCCCGCAGGGGTGTGGTTACTGATTCATG